GTCTGTCAAACCCACATGGGGGCCCAAAAAAAAGGCAGGGGCACACTAGGACAGAATGAGAGTTGGAAGACATGAAGGAACTAGGACATGTGCAAGGACCTTACCAGATACCTGTGGGGGCCAGGAACAGGTGAGCAGAGGACAAACCAAGAAGCATAGGGGCCATAACTAGGGAAGGGGGCTGAAGGAAGGAACACTCCACGGAAGAAACTAAAACACATCAGAGGATGCAATGGGAGTCACGTGGGAGGGGGAAAGGGAGAGATCCGTGTTTTTCTTTGGGCTAGACGAAGCTAAAGGGGAAACTATGATGAAAGGGAAAACAGGAGGAAAAAAAGCGATTGGAAGATTCATGAAGGTGATAGGCGAGGGGGGCATGACCCTGGTGGCAAATTTTCGGAGAATTGGGTGGTTCACAAAGAAAAGGAATCGGCCTCTCAAAGTAATTTTCAAGGCAGAATCAACCCGAACCATGATCCTGCAGGAGAAAGCACAGCTGAGAGTAGGCAGGAGTTCCGGAGTGTTACCTCGATCGAACAGAACACAGGACGAAAGGAAGACGAAAGAAAAAGAGAGTTCAAAAACGAAAGGAGAAATGGGAGGAAATGAAAAAGGAGAGCAGAATAACCCAGGATCAAATGGAAGGACAAGCCCCACTCCCCCGAAAACCTGCAGAAGGACTCCAGCCACGACACCCCCAAGGCAACTGAAACAATCCAAACCAACCATCACACACCGATCCCTCTGTTTTCACCCCCCCGCACCACAGTTAGAGTATTAGAACAGAAGTTGAAGGTTTGGTACACAAATGCAGATGGATTAACGCATAAACATGAGGAATGGCAAGAAAGAATCAATGAGAAGTCCCCAGACACATAGCAGTTACAGAAACAAAACCACGGGAAAAAATAACAATGCAATCTTCCCACCAGGATACCAGATCATGAGGAAAGATAGAAGGGGCAGGGGGGGGGAGGTAGGTGGGGTTGCTCTGCTCGTAAAAAACAGATGGAAATTCGAGAAAATGGAAGGCATAGATGAGACGGGAGAAAGAGACTATATAGCAGGTACACTTCAGTCCAGGGAACACAAAGTGGTCATTGCAGTGATGTATAATCCACCACAGAGCTGCGGAGGCCAAGAGAGGAATATGAAGAGAGCAACAGAGCAATGGTGGACACACTTGCTGAGGTGCCAAGAAGAGCTCATTCCAGCAGAGCAAGGGTTTCTGGTTATGGGGATTTCAACCACAGGGGGTCGACTGGGAAAACCTGGAGCCACATGGGGGTCCCGAAACATGGGAGAGCCAGGAATGTTGGACGAGGTGCTGGAAAACCTCATGCACCAACTGTTAAGGACACTACCAAGTGAGAGGGGAGGATAACCAGCAAGATTGGACCTTTTTGTTCACCCCGGGCAGCTCAGACATTGAGGACATCAAGTATGGAGTCCCCTAGGAGCTAGCGACCATGTGGTTTTTGTGCTTTGAATACATGTAGAGCTGCAAGTTGAAGAATAACAGGGGTTGAATGGGGAAAAACCTGACATAAAAGGGGACTACATAGGGTTGAAGAACTTCCTGCGGGAGGTCCAATGGACAGACAACTGGCAGGAAAGCCCGTAAATGAAATAATGGAATATGTAACAACAAAAATGCAAGGAGGCAGTGGAAAAGTTTATTCCCAAAGGGGAACAGTTACAACGGGAAGACCAGAACGAGCCCCTGGTTTACCCCACGGTGTAAGGAGGCAAAAAAAAGTGCAATAGAGAATGGAAAAAGTACAGAAGGCAGAGAACACACGAAAATAGGGAGATAAGTCGCAGAGCCAGGAATGAGTATGCACAGGTAAGGAGGGAGGCCCAGTGACAGTATGAAAATGACATAGCATCGAGAATCAAGACTGACCCGAAACTGTTGTATAGCCACATCAGGAGGAAGACAACAGTGAAAGACCAGGTGATCGGACAGACGGTGGAGAACTCACAAGAAATGATCAGGAGGTATGTGAGGAGCTGAACAGGAGATTTAAGGAAGTTTTTACAGTAGAGACAGGAAGGGCTGTGGGAAGACAGCACAGAAGGGGAACATCAAGAGGGAATATACCAACAAAAAGTTTGGGTTACATACGAACAACTGAGGAGGAGGTGAAAAAGCTCTTAAGTGACCTTTTACACCTCAAAAGGGGATGGGACCAGACAACAACTCCCCATGGGTCCTTAGAGAAGGAGCAGAGATGCTGTGCGTACCTCTAACCACAATCTTCAACACATCCCTGGAAACTGGGCAACTACCTGAGAAATGGAAGACTGCTAAGTAGTCCCCATATTTAAGAAAGGAAACAGAAACGAGGCACTAAACTACAGACCTGTGTCCTCTGACATGTATTGTGTGCAAAGTCATGGAGAAGATTATCAGGAGGAGAGTGGTCGAACCCCTGGAAAGGAACAAGATTATAAATGAAAACAAGCATGGGATCATGGAAGGCAAACCCTGTATCAC